CTGCCTGTCCTCCGTCCTTCGGGGGTGAGACTGCTCTTGGCTGTACTGCCCTTAGCTGTACTGCCCTTGGCTGTGACGTTCTTGAGGACAGACAGGAGGAGCTGGAGTGCCTTGCTGCCACTTCACCCCATCACGCGACCATGCTGCTTGCCCCTGAGGGAGACCCGGATGCACTTGACATCCCCACCCCGCGCTCCTATAGGGAGGCGATTTCGGGTGAGTACTCCTCTCAGTGGCAGACAGCCATGGACGCAGAGATGGCTTCCTCGAAGTCCACAGGCACCTACGTCGACGAGGTTCCCCCACCTCGGGCGAACATCGTCAGTGGCATGTGGATTTTCAGGGTGAAGCGGTCTCCGGGTTCTCCGCCTGCCTTCAAGGCACGTTACGTTGCTCGAGGCTTCAGTCAGCGTGAGGGGGTCGACTTCTTTCAGACCTTCTCCCCCACCCCGAAGATGACCACTCTTCGGGTGTTGCTACACGTTGCAGCTCAGCGTAACTACGAGCTGCACTCCCTCGACTTCTCGACAGCTTTCTTGCAGGGTAGCCTTCACGAGGCCATCTGGTTGCGCCGTCCACAGGGCTTCACTGGGTCGTTTCCTGAGGGTACCCAGTGGAGCCTACGGCGACCAGTGTACGGCCTGCGTCAGGCGCCCCGTGAGTGGCACGACACACTGAGGACGACACTTGCGGCTCTTGGGTTTGCTCCTTCGACTGATGACCCGTCGCTGTTTCTCCGCACCGACACTACTCTGCCGCCGTTCTACATCCTCGTGTACGTCGACGACTTGGTTTTTGCTACTGCTGACACTGAGGCACTGGCCCTAGTGAAGGAGGAGCTGCAGGAGAGACACACCTGCACTGACCTGGGTGAGCTGCGGAGCTATCTTGGCTTGCAGATCACCCGGGACAGACCACGGCGCACCATCACCCTCACTCAGTCACACATGGTGCACCAGGTCCTTCAGCGCTTCCGCTTCACTTGGTCCTCGCCACAGCCCACTCCTCTGTCTACCGGCCACTCGCTCTCAGCTCCACCTTCGGACGAGTCCGTAGAGCCGAGTGGTCCGTACCCAGAGCTTGTGGGTTGCCTCATGTACCTGATGACGTGCACACGACCTGACCTCGCGTACCCTCTCAGCCTCCTGGCTCGCTACGTGGCACCTGGTCGACACCGAAAGGTGCACTTTGATGCTGCGAAGAGGGCACTGCGTTACTTGTGCAGCACATTGGGCATGGGGCTCGTGCTTGGAGGATGGGGTTCGGTGGTCCTTACAGGACACTCTGACGCTTCTTGGGCCGACGACCAGACGACTCAGCGTTCGTCACAGGGTTACACCTTCAGTCTTGGCTCTGGTTCTGTCTCGTGGAGGTCCACTCGTTCTTCTTCTGTGCTTGGTTCCAGCTGTGAGGCCGAGATCTACGCTGGGGCCATGGCTGCACAGGAGCTACGCTGGCTGACCTACCTGATGACCGACTTGGGGGAGCGGCCTCGTTCTCCTCCAGTTCTGTACGTCGACAACAAGGCAATGCTTGCCTTGTGTCGCGAGCAGAGACTGGAGCACAGAACGAAGCACATTGCTCTTCGCTACTTCCTTGCGCGTGAGCTGCAGCAGCGTGGTCAGCTGCGCCTTGCTTACGTGGCCTCTCGAGCCAACACTGCTGATGTCTTCACCAAGGCCCTTGGGTCTGGTGATCATCACCGTTTCTGCACTGCTCTTGGGCTTGTGCCCACTCTGCCTCACCTACTGGTTGCTTGACTTGCTCTTGTTGTACACTGCTATATATCTTATACCTGCATGTTTTCTCTTGCTAGGTTGTGATCAGTGTACTGCCTTGCTATTATACACCTCTGCATGTGAACTGGCCTTGTGGCCACTTGCTTGTGCTCAGAATGCGTGGTGACTTTGTGATCCACCCTGAGCTGTGTTCTCTTCTGCAGACTGGTCTTGTGACCGCTTGTTGTGTTTGCTGTCCCCTACTTTGCCTATGGGGGTGTGTCAAATTACAATTGTATCTCTAGGCTACAGTAGGGTCACTCCTTAGTGAGTACAACACTTTAGGGTTAGGTTTCCCCTACTTGTACTCACCTCTTGCCTAGTTCACTCATTCATTCCTGCTGATTCTAACAGATGGGAATGTGTAGCATCTACGGTCCCGGTGTACCAATCAGGTGCGAGGGAGTGAGTGACGGTGACACAGCCGGCGTTGACGCTATTGGACTATGGCACACCACCACCACCCAGTTGGGAAGAGTGCAACTCTTGTTGCTTGTTGATGCCTGTAATATTTTGAGCTATGGAAGTAATTCCAAGAAATCACGACAAGAGATGAACTGAAACGCCTAGAAAGCCAAAACACATGCTTTCAAGTGAAGATGACCTTACGACGTAGTAGACTATTCCTAGTTGTAAGACCATCTACACTTTTTCAGTACGTATCAAACACACTGCCATAGATAAAAGAGAAACCCATTGTACCTTACCAAATCCCCCATTCTGTTCTGTTCTATTTCCAGAGATGGCTCAACAACATTCTGTGTATGCCAAAATCACCAGAAGCCTCTTGCTCCACAAAGAAAGAGAGGATACGTACCACAGGAGAAGAAAAGCATATAAACCGTACAGTCAGGGGGGGGGGGGGGGCATTTCCGGTACTACGAACACGATACAATAAAGTGGCTCGACCGGACACAAAGTCTAATCCCTACGAGAATCTAGGCTAGGGGTATCTAATGCAGTTGTTGGTAAACTGTTGTTACAAGCTACACAAAGAAAACTCAGAGAAGGAATGGACACCAGCACTGACGCAACGGCACATTTCTTAAATTGCAGCTGAGGAAACAAAAAATGTCAAGCGTCTTCGCCACATTCCCTGTCGAATTTTTGAGACGTCTCAAACATAGCACCTTGGCCCATTCCCCATTAAAGTAGAACCTTGCAAGAAAGAAAAAACGGTATCTCTGAAACAATGGGAAGGGGGATGAGGGGAAGTGGAATGAGGGGAACACAAGAGGGGTGAGTCGAAAGCACACGTGAACAACAGAGAGGAATAAAAACGGACCTGAGGATTGTACCTGAGAATTCTCAAAAGTGATTCAAGCCGGGTGAACAAGCAGTATGGATGCAGGCCGTGGCAGAAACAGCAGGGAGGGGTAGGGAGGAAAGAAGGAAGTGGGGGGCGGGGGGAGGGCGACGGGGTGGGGGAGGGTGTTGGGGGGGAAAGGGGGAAAGGAAGATGAAAGGAAGAAGATGTAACTCTACTGGACCTCCATGCTTTGAGACGTCTCAAAATAGAGTTACGTCTAATCATTGAGTTACGTCTAAAAATTGAGTTTTGAGACGTCTCACAAGCTGAAAAGGATTCCCAGGAGTACATGTGAGCTCGTGAGCACAATCGGGTTTTTGAAATTTCTCAAAAACACCCTGCAACACCAGGCGTACAGGTGAGCTCGAGGAGTAACTTCTGAGAATTCTCAAAAATACAAGTGAGCTCGTGGGCACAATCGTTACGGCTCGCGGCCATAACCACATAAGCAGCTGTCTTTTGATCGGCCCGCAGGAAAATTTGGAGCACACAATGAATCTCAGCGTTCCCTTTGCTCTAGTCCTGCCCGTAGTCAGTTGCAGTGAATTTCAAGTCAGTCTTGCCCATGACCGTTGCTCTGTCTGGTGACGTGGCGCAGTGCGAGTACACGAGTAAGGACGACGAGCAGAGCACACAGTGAAGCTCATCGATTGTTTCCCGTCAATGTCTGTCAATCTCACTGACGCTGCGCTGTGCGCGTACCGTGGTGGCAAGGACGAGCGGATTCAACTGCGGCGGTTAGCTGCGATCGGCCTTCCCGTCAGTCTTGCCGGTAACCGTCTCCTTCGATTCCCGCTCGATCTGCTTCGGCGTGTCGTTTAGCGACCTGCGAATTCAATAAAAGCGAATTAAAATCGAGTCAGGGCAGCAGCAAGCCGTCAGCGACGTTGCCGCGCGAAAGACAAAACAAAACGCGGCGCGAGTGAGGAGGATCGAACGAGCACCATACGAGGGAAAGCGTGCAGCGCACGGGTGGAGAAGGCGCACCGAGCGAGGGAAGAATCGACGAACAAGCGCCGAACGAGCTAACGTCGCTCGCGACGTGAAACCTAAGCGGTGGACCCAAGCGACTCACTTCTTAACGGCCGCTTCTTCCTCTTCCAGCCACACTCTCATCTGCCTGACGTTCCGTCTTAGCGTCGTCGCCGTCCTCTTGACGTCTCCTTTGAGCAACAGAACCGCCGCGCCAATTCCTACTACCGTAAGCACGAAGTTCGAAATCGCCATGGCGGCAAAAGCTGCGCCTGGCGAGAAAGCTATAGATACATTTGACCAGTCCTCCCTGTTTATTCACTCTCCTTAGGCAGGAACGTAGTGTTTTGCTGGTTGATTTCGGCTCGTTTTCGTAATCGTTTCATTGTATAGCGCGAATATTGATCCACTCGTTTCGTGTCCCCCTACAAGAGTCATCAAAGCTTGATATTGGTAACCATATGTTGGCGAAACATGTAGATCGAGCTTGCATCACTCTACCCACAAGAAACACGGTCGATGTGTCAGTTACAGCAACGGGCGCTCAGTTCGCGCATCTACAACGAAGAACGATAGCGTGCGAACGCTGATTGGACCAGTAAATATTGCAGCGAAACAATTCACGATTCTGATTAGTTCGCTACGCATGTAACAGAAGCATGGCCAGTGGAGTTCCCATTGCCTTGTTTTTCGGCGATCTCAGTGGTTTCCTGGTGAATGTTTCAGGACGACTTTTGCTTCCTATATCAGACTTCAATGAAGAGCCATGTCGTTCTGCCGACACTAGACTAGGCTGGAATAACTCGGGTGGTGTTAGACACCGCGTCTCCGATTGAACCACCCCGCGAGTCTCGAAATCCGCCTGCGAGTCTCGAGCGAGCGCCTCGCGACCGTCCCGCAATCGTCCCGCGAGCGGCGCGCTAGGCAGCGAGAAAGCCATCATGGCGGTGACGGCGGCGAATCTGTCGACGTTCGGCGGCATCGCGACGGTGTCGCTCGTGCACTCGCTCATCCCCACGCACTGGCTGCCGTTCAGCGTCGTGGGTCGCGTGCAGAAATGGACCATCCACCAAACGCTTTCCATCAGTAAGAAACGCTTTTGATTCCGAGGCATCTCACAGCCAATTTCGAGCACATCATAAAAATCCGTCAGAGCCTCTCTATTAGTAGGAAACGCTTTCAACTCTGAGTCATCTCACAGCCGGATGCGAGCAGATTTGGACCACCGCCTCGATCGCCATCAATAAGCATTTCTCCGATGCTTTCCGTAGCTTTCTAACCATGCGTTTTTTGGCAACGTCTTGATACGCATAGGCTGCCGTAGCGGCACTATAGCATGTTTAAGCGTTCTCGATACATAGGGAATGTTTTCTGCATCCAATCACAATAGCATTCTCGCTTTGTAAGGCGTGTTCCCGACGCTGTAACGAGCTGGAGCATATAGCGTTCTGGCCGTGTGTCATTGTCGCATTGCCCTGGACTGTCCTGGACTAATGATTCGATTTAAAGGTACGCTCTGGGCTTTGACTGCGGTTGCATCTGTAACCATGGACGAAACCCTATACACAGCCACTGGCTAAAATTGAGCCATGCCTTCCTCCTTCCTCCCCCATTTTCCCCCTACCCCTTCCCTCCTCCCTGCAGCCGCGCTGGGAGCATTCCTGCACGTGCTATCCACGTCCATCCTCGGCTTCACCGCAGTCACCATGAAACACACACGCTCGCTTTTCCCGCAACCATTTCCTTCCCCCCCCCTCTTCCCTTCGTCTCCCCTTCCCCTGCAGCGGCACTGGGAGCATTCCTGCACGTGCTATCCACGTCCATCCTCGGCTTCACCGCAGTCACCATGGCACACACGCTTGCAGGCGAGGAGGCAGTGGAAGCCATCGCATCCCTCCTCCTCCTCCTCCTAGGCGCCTGCTACATCGCCCTCTTCCTCCTCACCCGCGGAAAACCCTCCCACTCCCACTGCCACGCGCACTCCCACCTTCCAACCACCATGGCTGCTGCGGCTGCCGCCACTGGAACCTCCTCCCCTGGTGGCTCCGCTGCTGCTTCGTCAAAAAGCGCGAACGCGAGTGGGAAGCCGGAGGGGATGGAGAGGATAGCAGTGCTGGGGTTGGTGCTGGTGCCGGCGCTCTCCCCGTGTGCCACGACTCTCCCGGTGTTTCTGGCCATCAGTGACGCGTCGCTGGGCACCATGGCCATTGCAGTGGCCGTGCTGCTCGCCTGCACGCTCTTCGTCATGCTCACCCTCGTTGCACTCTCCTTCTATGGGGCCTCACAGGTGAGAGAGATGATCTAAACTGTGTGTGACGCTCCCTGCTGGATAGCGATTGCAGTGGCCGTGCTGCTCGCCCGCATACTCTTTGTCATCATGCTCACACTCCTTCTATTGGGCCTTACAGGTGAGGTTGATTTGGCCACTGGGCTTGACTTGTCTGGTTGTTCCTGCTGACTTGTGGCGTGCTCTTTGCCCCTCTCTGCGTCACAGGTGAAGTTTGGGTGGCTGGAGCGATGCAAGAAGCTGGTTGTCACGGCTCTTTCCCCTTCCCCTCCCACCTTCCCTTCGCTCCTTTGGCCTCCTGTCATGCTCACCCCTTCTTCTCCCAAACTCTTTTTCTGTGTGTTTTTTTTGTTTTTTTTTGCAGGTGAAGTTTGGGTGGTTGGAGCGATATGAGAAGCTGGTGGTGGGGGTGATTCTGTGTGCTGTTGGCATTCTCACTCACCTCTTTCACCACCATGACCACCCACACGGACACTCACACGGACATGCAGGGCATGCGGGTTCTGTGTTTGCACCGGGGCATACAGACATTATCACAGCTGGCACCATGCTGAGCCACCACCACTGAGTGATGCGAATCCATTACCTAGGGGGCACGAGGGGCATTTGCAACACCAGGTTACCACCAGCACGCGTCTGTGTTTGCACCAAGGCATACTGACATTATCACAGCTGGCACCATGCTGAGCCACCATCACTGAGAAAAGTGAAGGCACTTCTGGGGGTGATCCTGTGTGCTGTGGGCATTCTCACTCACCTCTTTCACCGCCACGACCACCCACATGGGCACCACTCACACGGGCATGAGGGACATTGGGGCACCACCAGAATGCATCTGTTTTGCACCGGGGCATACTGATATTGTCACAGCTGGCACCATGCTGAGCCACCACCACTGAGTGTATGGGCAAGGCACTGTACCACCAGTACGGTAATGTTGCTGATCTGATGCTGCAGCTGCTGCCTGGGTTGAAACTTGGTTGCACTTCATCTCAAGCCCACCATGTCATCCTTTGCTTTATCTTGCTTGATTTGATTGGTATGCTTATTATTATTGCGCACATAGCTTATTGGGTGTTAAAGTGGAAGCTGCAGAAGAAAATTTAGTAGGGTACTTCAGTAGGTCATGCATGACATACAGCATGTCTATTGTAGAGTTGCAAAGCTAGTGGTAGCAAGCAAACCACTCAGCAGTACAAAGTATAGAACTCTTAGGTGAGAGGGCCCTACCTGCCTAAGGTCCTAACAATATCTACAATAGCAGAGTGTTGCACCTGTACATGACTAGTTGCTACATGGAGTGCAAACAGTGCACCCTATCAGTGAGAGCCCTCCAGGCATCACAGAGATCATAACCAGAATTTCCGAGGCGCCTACTGTATTAATCATAGCGCACCCGATTGGTGCAACAAATACTAGGATTAGGTGGCATTAAACCCCTCACTTCGAATTCAGGTGAGAAGAGTTACGGTATGAAGCTGTGACGGCATCGTAACCTCAGCTCAACATTTAGGAGTGAGTGACCGTATGAGCATTGAGAGAGGGAGCATGGGTCATGCCCCCTAGTAGAGGGAGGGAGCGTGAGTCGTGCTGATCAGTGTGACGTTGGTAGAGGGAGTCGTGCACTCTAGCAGTGGCAGCAGGAGCACCCCCCTTAGACAGCACCCCCCAGGCATTGCAGATGGCTCGAGACGACTCCAAGTCCCTCTCCATGAGAGCATGTGATGGCATGTGATGGCATGTGATGGCATGTGATGGCATGTGATGGCATGTGATGGCATGTGATGACATGTGATGACATGTGATGGCATGTGATGGCATGTGATGACATGTGATGGCATGTGATGACATGTGATGGCATGTGATGACATGTGATGGCATGTGATGACATGTGATGACATGTGATGGTAAATGACTGCCTCATGTGCCATATGGGTGCTGGATGGCTGTCAACTGAAGTCAGTGGGGGAAAAGGCAGTCTGCCCCCTAATAGAGGGAGAGGGAGTCGCGCACTATGGCTGTGGCGGCAGGTGCACCCCCCTAGGACAGCACCCCCCCCTGGCGTCACAGATAGCTCGAGGCGGCTCCAAGTCCCTCTCCATGAGCAGGTGGTGTATGATGGCACATGATGGTATTTGGCTATCACTGAAGTCAGTACAGAGAAAGGGAGTCATGCACTCTGGCAGTGGCAGCAGGTGCCCCTCCCTTAGACAGCACCCCCCGCGCATCGCAGATGGCTCGAGGCGGCTCCAAGTCCCTCTCCATGAGAGAGTGGCCCTGCAAACGCTGCATCTGCTGGGTGAACAAGTTATCGAGAGTCTGGGGGGGGGGGCAAAGGAGGAAAAGGGGAGGGGGATTGTGGGATGTGTGGTTATGGGAGGGCAAGACAAGGCGACTCCAAGCCCCTCTCCATGAGCGCATGGCCCTGCAGTCGCTGCATCTGCTGGGTGATCAGATTGTCCAGCGTCTGATGGGGGAAAGGGGTGGGAGCGGGGAAGTGGTCGGAGCTGACACAATGAGAAGAGAACGTGGTTTTGAAGGGAGGCAGAGGGTACTGGGATATTGAGTGAGGGTATGAACGCGTGGGGCTATGAACGCGTGGGGCTATGAACGCGTGGGGCTATGAACGCGTGGGGCTATGAACGCGTGGGGCCATGAACGCGTGGGGCCATGAACGCGTGGGGCCATGAACGCGTGGGGCCATGAACGCGTGGGGCCATGAACGCATGGGGCCATGAACGCGTGGGGCCATGAACGCGTGGGGCTATGAACGCGTGGGGCTATGAACGCGTGGGGCTATGAACGCGTGGGGCTATGAACGCGTGGGGCTATGAACGCGTGGGGCTATGAACGCGTGGGGCTATGAACGCGTGGGGCTATGAACGCGTGGGGCTATGAACGCGTGGGGCTATGAACGCGTGGGGCCATGAACGCGTGGGGCCATGAACGCGTGGGGCCATGAACGCGTGGGGCCATGAACGCGTGGGGCTATGAACGCGTGGGGCTATGAACGCGTGGGGCTATGAACGCGTGGGGCTATGAACGCGTGGGGCCATGAACGCGTGGGGCCATGAACGCGTGGGGCTATGAACGCGTGGGGCTATGAACGCGTGGGGCTATGAACGCGTGGGGCTATGAACGCGTGGGGCTATGAACGCGTGGGGCTATGAATCTGTGGGATTGTGGAATCACAATCAGGTTGTGCTTACATCGAGTGTGATAGCAGCAGAAGCACTCTTGAACCACGACACTCCCTCCCTCCTCTTCTCCAGGAAATGCAACACCTCCCTCCCATGCCGGTCCCACAGGCCCCTCGCTGTCCCCACGAAGACACGGCTGCTCAACACTGCGTCAGCCTGTGAAAGGGCGGGTGGGGGGGAAAGGGTGGGGGAGAGGAGAAGGGTTGAGGGAAGAGAGGACATGAGTCAACCCCCTTGCTGTGCCCACGAACACCCTGCTGCTCAGCACTGCGTCAACCTGGTGAGAGCGAGAAAGGGAGGGGGGAAGGGGAAAGGGTGGGGGAGAGGGGGGGAAAATCAGGGTGCGATGACTCAACAGGCCCCTTGCCGTGCCCACAAAACAAACACCCGGCTGCTCAGCACCGCAACAGACTGGTTGGGAGGGGGAAAGGCAGGAACGAAAGGGGCGAAAAGAGGGAGGGAAGAAGGAATGCGGGAGAGAGGCAACGGAAGGAGCACTTAAGAGAGGCTCACTAGAACCTCCCACAGGCCCCTTGCCGTGCCCACAAAGGCACGGCTGTTCAGTACTGCGTCAGCCTGATGGGAAGATGGGGAAAGGGGAGAAAAGCCAGTGAGCCGACAAGGGCAGAGAGCGGCTGCAGCTTGGATGTCATGTCGTCGCCTGCCTGCCTGCAATCACAGGGGAAGTGCGTGCAAGCAATCACAGGGGAAGTGCGTGCAAGCAATCACAGGGGAAGTGCGTGCAAGCAATCACAGGGGAAGTGCGTGCAAGCAATCACAGGGGAAGTGCGTGCAAGCAATCACAGGGGAAGTGCGTGCAAGCAATCACAGGGGAAGTGCGTGCAAGCAATCACAGGGGAAGTGCGTGCAAGCAATCACAGGGGAAGTGCGTGCAAGCAATCACAGGGGAAGTGCGTGCAAGCAATCACAGGGGAAGTGCGTGCAAGCAAGGGAGTAGCAGCCACGAAGTCTTACCCGGGCGAGCAGCGAGCCGATGAGGGCGGACAGCGGCTGCAGCTTGGACGTCATGTCGTCGCCTGCCTGTGGCTGCACCTGCGGGACACGTGTTTGGCCGCTGCTAGCATGGTGAAGGACGGCTTACCTGGGCCAGCAGAGATCCAATCAAGGCGGACAGCGGCTGCAGCTTGGATGTCATGTCGTTGCCTGCCTGGCTGAGGCCATAGGTATGCCGCCTCTGCAGCAGTAAGTGGCAGCAGTGAGTAGCTGATTAGCTTGCGGAGACTCTCACTTGGGCTGCAGCTTGGAGATTCAATCAGGTGCAGGCAACGCCTGCGTGTGCTGGTTCGTGGGTACGAGAGTGGCAGCAAGAGAGCAGCGTGGTATCTCACCTGGGCTAGCAGTGATCCAATCAGTGCAGAGAGCGGCTGCAGCTTGGAGGTCATGTCGTCGCCTGCTTGTGGCCGCACCTCCTTGAGCACTCGCTTCAATGATGTGGTTCGACCCAGCTGGGTCTGAAAGGCGAGGAGGAGGAGGGAACGGAAGGGAGGGAAGCGAATGGAGGGGAGTGAGGGGACGGAGGGAACTAGAGAATAAAAAAGCATGGTTTTCAGTTCCCGGACAAATGACCCTGCTTAAACACTTGCTTCAATTTCTCAGATAACACCTCCCTCTCCTGCTCTACCTCCCTCACTTTCTAGTATAACTTCTCCACCACTCCTTTTAGTGTCGCCCTGTATGTTGTCCTTAGTTCCACCGTCACCTCACTCAGCATCTCCCCGAATAGCACCTTCCCCAAGACGGACAGCACCTTTCCAAAAAACACCTCCCTCTTCCCCCCTCTACACTCACATTCTCGTATAGTTTCTCCACCACCCCTTGCAGCGTCGCCCTGTAGGTCGTCCTCAACTCCACCGTCACTTCACTCAGCATCTCCCCGAATAGCACCTCCCTCCCCCCTGCCACCCCCCCTCCCCCCGTTCCCCCTGCTCCCCCCATCCCCCCTGCCTCCGCCACTCCGCCTCCCTGCCCCCTTCCCCTCCCCCCCGCAGCCTCCCCCCACCCATTCCCCCCACCAGCGCCTCCCCCCATCCCGCCTCCGCCCATCCCTCCCTGTCCCCCTACACCAGTTCCCCCTGCCCCTCCGCTTCCCCCTGCCCCTCCGCCAGCAGCAGCAGCCACTCTCTTAGCAGCAGCCCCCAGCATGGCAGCAGCAGCAGCAGCGGCACCAGCAGCACTGCCCCCGCCAGAGGGCCGCTTGGGGGGGGGGAGGTTGCGCTGGGGGGGGCGGATGAGGGAGGCTGGGGGAGTGTTGGCCACCCACTTGCGCATTCGGAGTTCTACTGTTGGTCGCAGGGTTTCGAGCATTCGCTTGATTGTGTTGAGATACACTCCCAGCTGAAAGGGGGAGAGAGGGGCAGGGAGCGGAAGGGAGGGAGGGAGAGGCAGGGAGGAAGGGGCAAGGGGGGAGAGGCAGGGGCGCGGATGAGGGAGGCCGGGGGGGTGTTGGCGACCCATTTTTGCCATCGGAGTTCCACTGTTGGTCGCAGGGTTTCGAGCATTCGCTTGATTGTGTTGAGATACACTCCCAGCTGAAAGGACAGGAGGGGGAAGAAGACAGTGGGAGGGAAGTGACGGAAACGACAGAGAGGGAAGAGGGGGAAGAGGGGGAAGAGGGGGTAGTGGGGAAAGAAGAGGGGGGGAAAGGGGAATGGCAATGACTCACTGGTACTATCAGCACTTGATATGGTCTCGCTCGCCCCTGTAGCTACGCATGAGCCAAAGCATCTGTACGTGGTATGAGCTCAACCACTCACCTCTATGGGTACTTGGTAGGCGAGTGTGGGGCGGCGGCGGGACAGCATGCTGAGAAGCTTCTTCTTGGTGGAGGAGGAGGAGGGGGCGGCGGAGGAGGAGGAGGAGGGGGTGTTGAGGAGGAGGAGGAAGTTCTGAAAGTGAGAGGCTAGGGATGAGATGGCTGCCCGTTCTACATCGCACACCGCCTGCCATGGTGCACATGGGTGGGTAGACAGATACACATGGGAATCATGTAACAGTCACAGGGCCACTCAAGGCGCACGCTCCACATCGTGCACTGCCTGCATGGATTGCAACTGATGGACCCACCATACTTAACCATTGCATCAGCAGCCAGGGTTTATAGAGGCCCCTTCTTTGTTCTTCTATTTCGCTGGGCACCAACCCCAACCCTTGTGCCCTCTGCACGCACCAATTCCCCTAAAAACCTCCCCTCCATCCCCCCAACACTCGCGCCGCAGGCCGACCGGCCTGACGCGATTGCCAATTATGCGAATCAACGGTTCCTCTCGTACTAAGTTGAATTGCTTCCTGAAACACGGTGCATGAGTAGTTTTGAGACGTCTCAAAACACGGTGCATGAGTAGTTTTGAGACGTCTCAAAACACGGTGCATGAGTAGTTTTGAGACGTCTCAAGACACGGTGCATGAGAAGTTTTGAGACGTCTCAAAACACGGTGCATGAGTAGTTTTGAGACGTCTCAAAACACGGTGCATGAGTAGTTTTGAGACGTCTCAAAACACGGTGCATGAGTAGTTTTGAGACGTCTCAAAACACGGTGCATGAGTAGTTTTGAGACGTCTCAAAACACGGTGCATGAGTAGTTTTGAGACGTCTCAAAACACGGTGCATGAGTAGTTTTGAGACGTCTCAAAACACGGTGCATGAGTAGTTTTGAGACGTCTCAAAACACGGTGCATGAGTAGTTTTGAGACGTCTCAAAACACGGTGCATGAGTAGTTTTGAGACGTCTCAAAACACGGTGCATGAGTAGTTTTGAGACGTCTCAAAACACGGTGCATGAGTAGTTTTGAGACGTCTCAAAACACGGTGCATGAGTAGTTTTGAGACGTCTCAAAACACGGTGCATGAGTAGTTTTGAGACGTCTCAAAACACGGTGCATGAGTAGTTTTGAGACGTCTCAAAACACGGTGCATGAGTAGTTTTGAGACGTCTCAAAACACGGTGCATGAGTAGTTTTGAGACGTCTCAAAACACGGTGCATGACTAGTTTTGAGACGTCTCAAAACACGGTGCATGAGTAGTTTTGAGACGTCTCAAAACACGGTGCATGAGTAGTTTTGAGACGTCTCAAAACACGGTGCATGAGTAGTTTTGAGACGTCTCAAAACACGGTGCATGAGTAGTTTTGAGACGTCTCAAAACACGGTGCATGAGTAGTTTTGAGACGTCTCAAAACACGGTGCATGAGTAGGGTAAAACTAACCTGTCTCACGACGGTCTAAACCCAGCTCACGTTCCCTATTGGTGGGTGAACAATCCAACACTTGGTGAATTCTGCTTCACAATGATAGGAAGAGCCGACATCGAAGGATCAAAAAGCAACGTCGCTATGAACGCTTGGCTGCCACAAGCCAGTTATCCCTGTGGTAACTTTTCTGACACCTCTACCTTTCAAGCTCCGAAGAGCTAAAGGATCGATAGGCCCCGCTTTCACGGCTTGTATTCGTACTAAAAATCAAAGTCAAGCGAGCTTTTGCCCTTTTGCTCCACACGAGATTTCTGTTCTCGTTGAGCTCGCCTTAGGACACCCGCGTTATCGTTTAACGGATGTGCCGCCCCAGCCAAACTCCCCACCTGACAATGTCAACCGCCTGGATCGGCCGAAGCCTTTAGGCAAGAATCAGGGGCAATGCCCTGCTTCCACCTCACGGATTAAGTAAAATAACGTCAAGAGTAGTGGTATTTCACCGGCGGTTTCCCTCCCACATATGCTACACCTCGTGAGTCATTTCACAATGTCAGACTAGAGTCAAGCTCAACAGGGTCTTCTTTCCCCGCTGATTTTTCCAAGCCCACCCCCCCAACTGCCTCATCTCCCCCATTCTCTCACCTCCTCCACCAGAAGTGTGTACTGCGGCCATCGCCCCAGCACCGAGTCAAGCTCGTCTAGCAGGCTGTTGATCACCCCGTACACCTCCTCCATGAACGGTGACGTGGCGTTGCGGTCGGACATTGGGGCTAGCACCGCCCACTGCGTTGGGAGGGAGGGAGGAGCGAGGGAGGGAAGAAGCGCGGGACAGGGGGAGAGAAGCTTCTGCCATAGAGTGAGACGTCCCATGCACTGCTTGCTGTTGATCACCCCGTACACCTCCTGCATGAACGGTGACGTGGCGTTGCCGTCGGACATTGGGGCTAGCACCGCCCACTGCGTTAGGAGGGAGGGAGACAGTCAAGCGGAGGAAAGAGACGAGAGGTGAACGTTGGTCCGGCCCGGCACTGCTAGTTGGTGGAAGGGGAGCACGTTTCGAAAGCTGCGAGCAACAGATGAGAAAGAGAGATGCCACATGAACTTATGTTGAACGACCATGAAGGGTGATGCGGCTGGGCTTTGGGATGCGGAGCAAGAGAAGACCAGGAAAGCACAGCACACACCTTAGGAGCTCGGCAGACGTCCATGAGTGTGTGGGTGCGCTCTCTGATCCATGCCTCCACGTACACCCCGAATAGCTCCCTCGCGTCTAGGCCTCCGGGTACTTTGCTGCTCGATTGAGAGGTATAGGAGAGGCAAGAGGAGGAGCAAACAAGAGAGAGTGTGGGTGCGCTCTCTGATCTATGCCTCCACGTACACTCCGAACAGCTCCCTTGCGTCTAGCCCCCCAGGCACCTTGCTGCTTGGGATGACAAGGGGGAAGGAAAGATGCAAGCAGCAGTGATCGGGGGTGCTGATGCAAAGGGAAGGGAACAGCAATCATGTGGATGCAATTCCACAGCCAAACTGGTATTGATGCAGCCACGATGCAACCACGATGCAACCATGATAACTCACCCACCCTAGCCCTTTCAGGGCACGTCAAAAACCATGCACCATGAATTCAAACCGAATGCGTCATTTGAGGATTCTAAGAAAACGCATTCAGCCTAATAAACCACAGATCAATGCACCCACGTTGCCCCAACCAACCCACCATGGGTCGACCCAAACAAACAAACAAACAAACAAACAAACAAACAAACAAACAAACAAACAAACAAACAAGCAAGCATGAAGCCCCACTCACTCACCCCACGCCCCACAGCATGAGCCTGTCCTCCACGTCAGCAGTGGCGTGCAGCAGGTTCTTGACATGTGGCAGCGGGTGCTGAGGTGGCACCGCCAGCAGGAACTGGTTGACTCGCCTCTGCAGCTCCACCATGTACACTCCCGCTGTCAACTCGGGTAGATCCACGAAGCTGGATAAGGGGTCAGGGGTGGGAGATGGAGGGAGGTGGGGAGAGATGGGAGTTTGTTTGGCCGCTGCAGCTCCACCATGTACACACCCGCTGTCAGCTCTGGCAGATCGACAAAGCTGCAATGGGGGGGGGGAGGGGAGCGCTAAGGAATTTTAGGTTGGGTTGGGGTAAACTCAGAGGCAGCAGGAACTGGTTGACTCGCCTCTGCAACTCCACCATGTATACGCCGGCTGTCAACTCGGGTAGATCCACAAAGCTGACGTGGCGGATGAGATGGGACAAGGAGGGAAGAGAGGTATTGAATGAGAGAAAGGAGGAGGCAACAAGGGGGGGCTTCTGCAGCTCCCTGTCAGCTCGGATAAACCCACGAAGCTGGAAAAGGGGTCAAAGGTGGGAGATGAACGGAGATGGGGAGAGATGGACGGAGATGGGGAGAGATGGACGGAGATGGGGAGAGATGAACGGAGATGGGGAGAGATGAACGGAGATGGGGAGAGATGAACGGAGATGGGGAGAGATGAACGGAGATGGGGAGAGATGAACGGAGATGGGGAGAGATGAACGGAGATGGGGAGAGATGAACGGAGATGGGGAGAGATGAACGGAGATGGGGAGAGATGAAAGTCCGTTTGGCCTCTGCAACTGCACCATGTACACGCCAGCTGTCAGCTCGGGTAAATCCACAAAGCTGACATGAGGATGAGATGAGAGCGAAGGATAAAGGGAGATGGTGGGAAAGGAGCAAGGGAGGGAAGGAGGGAAAGAAGGATTGAAGGAGGGAAAGAAGGCACTCGCCGCCCCTGGAAAAAGCCCTTCCTTCGCTCCACCATGCATGTGCCAGCTGTCATCTCGGGGCAGGTCCACAAAGCTGGGAGGAAGACCAACGGACGCCACAGCAGCAACACCTCTTCCCCGCCCCCACACCCACACGCAGCGTCCCACCTGGGCAGAATGTGCTGGTTGTGAATGCCAATATCCGCCTGCACCTCCCTCCACATGACCACACACGCACTTGCTCTTACAACCCCACGCCATAACCGCACTGCACCACCCCGCACACAAGTCCACGCATCCACCCACCTGGGCAGGATGTGTTGGTTGTGAATGCCGATATCCGCCTGCACCTCCCGCCACATGGCCACACACGCCAGTCGCATGCTCCCATACGCCTCCCTCTGCTCCTCCATATCCCCCCCCTCCCCTCCCCGCATCGCCCCCCTCCCCATCCCGCCTGCTCCCCCCATTCCCCCGGCCCCTCCTCCCCCTCTCCCCCTGCCTCCCCCCGGACTGCACCCCATGCCCGCTTGCCCCTGCCCCTGCCCGTGCCCCTGTCCCTGCCCGTGCATGCTGCTGCTGCCAGTGCCAAGGCAGAATGTGCCGTTGACATACTCGTCGGTCTCTGACAGGTGCTGCCGGCACCGCCGCCGCGCTGCTGTCTGGAATGGGGGAGAGGTGAACAGGAGAGGTGGAAAGGAGGATGGAAAGAACGGGGAAGCAAGCCATTCAAGCTCATAGTGGAGTAGCAGCAAACCAGAAGGGGGAGGCATGAGCTGTTGACGTATTTGTGCGTGTCTGATAGGTGCTCTTTTGAGTCGACCCGAATAAAATAGTCAGAACGTGCTGCTGACTTGACACATGCGTCGTTTTCCAAGGGGTGTTGGCAGCACCGTTGTCGCCAATGTGCTAAACCACACCGCTCGCAGCACAGCAGTCATTTGTGCGACTGCAGGTACCCATAAGACAATTGGCGCCGTTCTGCAAGTAACTCCCCTCCCCCCGTCCCCCCCTCGGTCTCACCTGCAGGTAACCACAGAACTGCTGTTGCACCTCTGGCAGCAGCAGGTCGTTCAGCAGCCCAAACAGGTGCACCGCGGGGGGGATAGCCGGCGCCACCAGCGCTGCTGCCTCTGCCCCCACCAGCGATCGCCCGAGGGAGGCACAGAGGTGGGTGGCGGAGCGGGACGAGTCGGCGATGCCTGAAGGGGCAGCCTCGCTGAGCGACTTGTAGCTCTCGAAGGTGAGCTGGAGGAGGTCGCCTACTCTCTCCTCCATGTCTGCTAGCATGCGCGCCTGCAAGGGGGGAGGTGAGGGAAGGGGTCGAAGTGGAACAGAGGGGTGCAGGGAGTTCAGTAGCAGTGGGGAAGAATCGGCGATGCCCGAGGGGGAAGACTCGCTGAGCGACTTGCAGTTCTCGAAGGTGAGTTGGAGGAGGTCTCCCACCCGCTCCTCCATGTCTGCTAGCATGCGCGCCTGAAAAGGGGGAGAACAGAGGGGTGCAGAGAGGTGGGAGGCGGTGGGGAGAAGTGGGCGACGCCTGAGGGGGAAGCCTCGCTGAGGGACTTGCAGTTCTCGAAGGTGAGTTGGAGGAGGTTGCCTACTCTCTCCTCCATATCTGCTAGCATGCGCGCCTGCAGGGGGAGGGGGAAGTGCGATTGAAGGGAGAACAGAGGGGTGCAGAGTGGTGGGGAGCGGTGCTGAACGAGATCGCCACCCATGCCTTCATGTCTGCTAACATGCGCGCCTGGGGTGGGGAGAGAGAGAGGGGGCGAGGAGAAACACAGGAGGGAACACACAGTGGCACAACAGTGGATGGCAGAGCAGGAAGAGAGGGTAGTGCCTGAAGCGGCAGACTCGCCTAGGGAGGGTTGGCAAAAGAGGGAAGGGGGGCTGAAGGGGAGAAAATAAAGGGCGGACGAGGAGGAGAGGAGGGAGGAGGTGAGGCGGAGAGGAGCAAAGGGGAAGGAAAAATGCAAGAGACGCAATGTGGATGAGACACCGGCTGTGCGAGATATGCTTCTCAACCATGCTGCTGTTTCATCCTCGCTCTGCCTCTCCTATTCTGTCACACTCATATCGGATTACTCACCTCCTGTTTAGTCACACTGCTGCCGTCACTGTCGTGTGCATGCAGCACCGGCGCCAGCAATTGGTGAATCAGAGTCAGGCAGTCAGCTGTTGGTGTTGCCACGTCCATCACTCGAGTGAGGTACCTGCGTCAAGGGGAGATGAATGGATGGATATGGGCACAGGTGAACAGAGCAAGAGAGGGATGGGTGGGTGGGAGTGAGGCACTGTCGTGTGCATGCAGCACAGGCGTCAACAGCTGGTGGATTAAAGTAAGGCAGTCGGCCGTCGGTGTTGCCACGTCCATCACTCGAGTGAGATACCTGTGGAAAGACGACAGGATGGGATGGGATGGGATGGGATGGGACGGGATGGGACGGGACGGGATGGGATGGGATGGGATGGGATGGGATGGGATGGGATGGGATGGGATGGGATGGGATGGGATGGGATGGGATGGGATGGGATGGGATGGGATGGGATGGGATGGGATGGGATGGGATGGGATGGGATGGGATGGGATGGGATGGGTGGGAGTGGGGCACTGTCATGTGTGCATGCAGCACCGGTGCAAACAACTGGTGGATCAGAGTGAAGCAGTCGGCCGTCGGTGTTGCTACGTCCATCACCCGAGTGAGGTACCTGGCAGATGGAGCAGAGACGAACAAAGGTGAATAGGAATGGATGGGAATACGGCACGTCACGTGCACGAGGCACTCTAAAGGGGGTGCAGTACTCAAGCCAGAGCAGGTGAGGACAGGGCGGTTCACCTGAGCTTGGTATAATGAGGGGACACGCCATAACACGTAGCGAACTGATCGCAGAGCCACTCCCAGGGGCCGGAGAGGCGGAGGTTGCGCGCGTGGGGTGTCGGGTGGGGTGTTGGCAGGACACTGAGCTAAACGCACCTGAGCTTGGTGTAATGCGGAGAGACGCCATAGCAGGTGGCGAACTGATCGCACAGCCACTCCCAGGGGCCCGAGAGGCGGAGGTTGCGCGCATGGAAGCCCTGAGCTGCCATGGCTGCTGCTAGCACCCAGTCGTACGCTGCTGACTCCGTGATTGGCTGGCACTGGTGGTGGGGTGAGACAGAAGAGGGGAGAGAGGATAACTGAGCTGCCATGGCCGCCGCAAACACCGAATTGTATGCTGCTGACTCCGTGATGGGCTGGCACTGGTGGGGGTGTGAATGAGGGTAACAGTGAGGTATAAACACCAAAAAGGGGGGGGAGTAGGTGAGGTCAGTGGACTGAGAGGTGCGAGCGTGGAATCCCTGAGCTGCCATGGCTGCTGCCAGCCAGCACCCAGTGGTATGCTGCCAGCACCCAGTGGTATGCTGCCAGCACCCAGTGGTATGCTGCCAGCACCCAGTGGTATGCTGCCAGCACCCAGTGGTATGCTGCCAGCACCCAGTGGTATGCTGCCAGCACCCAGTGGTATGCTGCCAGCACCCAGTGGTATGCTGCCAGCACCCAGTGGTATGCTGCCAGCACCCAGTGGTATGCTGCCAGCACCCAGTGGTATGCGGATGACTCTGAAAAGGGCTGACACTGGTGGTGGGGGGACAGAAAAGAGGAGAGAAAGGAGCAGCAGTTGTCATCATGGCAGCAGCAGCATCCATGAAGGCTGAGGGTGGGAGAGATGATAACTGAGCTGCCATGGCTGAGGGTGGGAGGGATGATAACTGAGCTGCCATGGCTGAGGTTGGGAGATGATAACTGAGCTGCCATGGCTGAGGGTGGGAGATGATAACTGAGCTGCCATGGCTGAGGTTGGGAGATGATAACTGAGCTGCCATGGCTGAGGTTGGGAGATGATAACTGAGCTGCCATGGCTGAGGGTGGGAGATGATAACTGAGCTGCCATGGCTGAGGTTGGGAGATGATAACTGAGCTGCCATGGCTGCTCCCAACACGCAGTTGTACGCTGCTGTCTCTGAGATGGGCTGGCACTGGTCGTGGAGGGGGGGGGGGGGGGGAAGAAGCGATTTTAGGGTGAATAACACTGAACAGTTTTGAGACGTCTCAAAACCCTTCTTCATACACGTGAGTAACACTGAACGGTGAGTCCTGAGTACAGCACGGTTCAGGTGTATCCCTGTGAGACCACCCCCTCACCACTGAACGGTGTGTTCTCAGTACAGCAGCAAGCACCTGTTTTCTCCTTTGCTAAACTTTCTCCTCCACTGCTGCTCGCTGGATCATGTCTAACAGTCTGAGTAACACTGAACGGTGTGTTGTGAGTACAGCAGCAAGCAACAGGCAGCAAGCAGCGACTGGAAACGTACCGGGCTTGCAGCGATCCACCCCTGCTTTCGATTTACGACTGCATGGAGAAACACACCCCACCAGACACAGCTGCACTCGACCGCACATGACCACACATGACTGCACACGTCCGCACATTGCCTCACACTCTCACATACCCTCACGTTCAAGTCGACTCAGCAACAACTCAAATTTCCACACACCTGCGTGCCATAGTCCCTGGCGCAGGGCACGAGCGACACGGCGATCTGCACTCGAGCCACCTCCTGCTGACACGTGTGAGTCCACCCAGAAGCAACCCCAAACAGCCCCTCATACCCACACGCACACACACACACACACACACACACACACACACACACACACACACACACACACACACACGCACGCAATTCAACAACCCCATACCCTCACACCAACACACACCTGCGTGCCATAGTCCCTGGCGCAGGGCACGAGAGACACAACACATTGACAACACCCCCACATCCCCTCTCACACCCGCACACCACATTACACACCTGCGTGCCATAGTCCCTGGCACAGGGCACGAGCGACACTGCGATCTGCACGCGAGCCACCTCCTGCTGACACGTGTCCCTCACTGCCAGCCAATGGCAGCGCTGCGACAGTGACATGTGGGCGCCCGGGTGCTGAGAGGGTAGAGTGTGACAGCCGGCGGGGGGGGGGAGGAGGGGGTGATGGGTGAAGAGGGGGAAGGAGGGGGTGATGGGTGAAGAGGGGGAAGGAGGGGGTGATGGGTGAAGAGGGGGGAGGAGGGGGTGATGGGTGAAGAGGGGGAAGAAATGAAGAAATAAAGGGAGAGAGAGCGACAGCGACACGTGGGTGCGGTGTGCTGAGAGGGTAGAGTGCAACAGAGGGGGGATGGGAGGGATGGGGGTTGGTGGAAAGGGGGTAAAGGGGGGGATATGATGGCAGCGCTGCTGCAACAATGACACGTGGGTGCCGGGGTGCTGAGACGGTAGAATGTGCGGCAGAGGAGGAAGAGGACAATGAGAGGGGAGGAAGGAGGGAGGGGTGGGAGGGGTGGGGGGAGAGAAGTGGCAGGTTCTAGAAAAATATTGGTTCAGTAACAGGCAAGAGCAGTGGTGAGTCAGCCACACTTTCAATCATACACCCACCAACCCCTTATCAATCACCCCTTCACCCCTTATCACTCCACCGTTCACCCCTTATCACTCCCACGTTCACCCCTTATCACTCCCTCGTTAAACCCTTATCACCCCCCCTTCGACCCTTATCACTCCCCCCTTCACCCAGTATCACTAACCCCTTCGTCCCTTATCACTCGCCCCTTCATCCCTTATCACTCGCCCCTTCACCCCTTATCACTCCTCCCTTCACCCCGTATCACTCACCCCTTCGTCCCTTATCACTCGCCCCTTCACCCCTTATCACTCCCCCCTTCATCCCGTATCACTCACCCCTTCGTCCATGAGCGTAGCCGCAAGCACTGACGCCTGTCCTCTCAACCCACTGCGGTCATGCACCTCCACCACCACTTCTTGTCTATCGCTCTCAACAGGTCTGATTGTGAGGGAGGCCAGAGAAGGCAAAGAGGAAAACGAGGGACGAGATGGAAGCAAGGGCACAGCAGCAGGCACTGACGCCTGTCCTCTCAACCCACTGCGATCATGCACCTCCACCACCACTTCCTGTCTCTCGCTCTCCACGGGACTGAATGGGGGAGAGGGGAAAGTGGGGGAAAATAGGGAAGAAATGGAAAGTGTAGGTAGTTTGAATGAGCGCATGACACCGTGGCCTGCCCCCTTAACCCACTGCGGTCATGCACCTCCACCACCACTTCTTGTCTCTCGCTCTCCACAGCTCTGAATGGAAGAGAGGGGAGAGCGTGCGGAGAGGAAAGGTGGGGCGAATGGGTAAAGGAGTGGGGCAAAAGTGTGACATTAAAGTGTGGGTAAAGGAAATGGAATGGCCGGCCATTGTGACATTCCCCTCTGCAGCGCCCACTGCAATCATGCGTCCCTGATGAAAGAGAGGAAGACAGGGAAGAGGGGGAAGAGAGGGAAGAGGAGATTTAGGTGGACAGAGAAGAGGCACAATGCATACTGCCGTCCGTTCAGCCTCCACAATGCATGTGTCAACTCAACAGTCCCAGCAACAACGGAGGGGGTTCGATTGAATTCACTGCTTTTGCCTTACAGGTTAATGCAGTGGTGGGTGTTGGGGTTCACCCTCCGTGCTTCACCCGCCTCCTCTGATGGGCATCGCACGGCCACCAGCACTCCATCTGAAAGCAACAACAGGACCAACACCGGGAGAGAGAAAAGGTCAGAGGCGAATGAGAGCAGAGGAGGGAGTGGCGCAGTGGTATGGTGTGCGTTTGAGAAGGGTTGACTCTCCATGCCCTTCATCTCCTTCTTCTGATGGGCATCGCACCGCCACCAACGCTCCCTAGGGAGGTTATATTGAAATCACTTCTGAGAATTCTCAAAAGTGATTTCTGATGGGTATCGCACCGCCACCAGCACTCCCTCTGGAGCCAGCAACGGAGGAATAGGCAGAGGAGAATGTGAGCGGAGGGTTTAGGGCTAGCAGTGGTGTGACGTGGTGTGGGGACTCCACCAACACTGAGCTAGCAGGGTTTGGGACTGTTTTGACCCTATGGGCTTCATTGTTCCACTGAGTAAGTGACTGACAGTACACCAGTACTTTTGAGTCGACCCAAAAGTCACTTCATTGTTCCTCTGAGTAATTGATTGACAGCAAACCAGTACTCAAGCCATTTATGCATGTACCAAAAGCGTCACCACAAGCACCAGATAAATCACCTGAAGCAACAGATTGATCTCCTGACGCCACTGACAAAGCACCTGAAGCAACAGAGGAATCACCTGGTGCGGCAGAGGTGGCTTCAGCAGCCAGCCCGCTGAGCTTCTCCATGCCCCTCTTGATCTGATCTGCCCCTCCTGTCCCTCCTGTCCCTCCTGTCCCCCCTGCCCCTCCAGTCCCCCCTCACCTGGAGCAGCAGTGGTGGCTTCAGCAGCCAGACCCCTGAGATTCGCCATGCCCCCTTTGATCTGCCGCATCATGCTGCTCACTGTCCTCCCTCCTCTTCCTGTCCCTCCTCCTCCCCCTGTCCCCCCTCACCTGGAGCAGCAGTGGTGGCTTCAGCAGCCAGCCCCCTGAGATTCGCCATGCCTCCCTTGATCTGCCGCATCATGCTACTCACTGCCGCCCCCGCTCCCCCTGTCCCGCCTCCTGCTCCCGCTGCTGCTCCCCCCATTCCTCCCCCCGCGCCCCCCGGGTTCTCGGCTTCCCCCTGTCCCCCGGCCATCCCCTTGCCCTCGTCCCCCTTGCTTGTCATGCGCACCTTGCGCACTGGGGGGGGGAATCGGGAGAAATTGGGGGAGATTGGGGGGAGAGGGGGGTAGATAGGATGGGAGGTGATATGGGGGGTTGTGGTAGGGAAGCGAGATGGCGGGTGGTGCGGGCAGAGCTTTTGCAATGTCTCAAGATAAGACAAAAAAAAGTGCACCACTAGTGCACCAATGCGAGTGATTAGAGCCAGAGCCAGAGCGACCCACCTTGCAGCTGAGAGTGCCAATGCCACGGTTCTTCTTCCAAGCCGAGGAATGGCCGTACGGCGAGAGGGGAGAGCTGGAGAGCCAAACCTTCCTACCTCCATACTACCTTGGGAGCACAGTGCGAGTGAAAGGGCAGCACACCTTGCAGCTTGAGAGTGCCAATGCCACGGTTCTTCTTCCAAGCCGAGGAATGGCCGTACGGCGAGAGGGGAGAGCTGGAGAGCCAAACCTTCCTACCTCCATACTACCTTGGGAGCACAGTGCGAGTGAAAGGGCAGCACACCTTGCAGCTTGAGAGTGCCAATGCCACGGTTCTTCTTCCGAGCCGAGGAATGGCCATACGGCGAGAGGGGAGAGCTGGAGAGCCAAACCTTCCTACCTCCATACTACCTTGGGAGCACAGTGCGAGTGAAAGGGCAGCACACCTTGCAGCTTGAGAGTGCCAATGCCACGGTTCTTCTTCCGAGCCGAGGAATGGCCGTACGGCGAGAGGGGAGAGCTGGAGAGCCAAACCTTCCTACCTCCATACTACCTTGGGAGCACAGTGCGAGTGAAAGGGCAGCACACCTTGCAGCTTGAGAGTGCCAATGCCACGGTTCTTCTTCCGAGCCGAGGAATGGCCATACGGCGAGAGGGGAGAGCTGGAGAGCCAAACCTTCCTACCTCCATACTACCTTGGGAGCACAGTGCGAGTGAAAGGGCAGCACACCTTGCAGCTTGAGAGTGCCAATGCCACGGTTCTTCTTCCGAGCCGAGGAATGGCCGTACGGCGAGAGGGGAGAGCTGGAGAGCCAAACCTTCCTACCTCCATACTACCTTGGGAGCACAGTGCGAGTGAAAGGGCAGCACACCTTGCAGCTTGAGAGTGCCAATGCCACGGTTCTTCTTCCGAGCCGAGGAATGGCCATACGGCGAGAGGGGAGAGCTGGAGAGCCAAACCTTCCTACCTCCATACTACCTTGGGAGCACAGTGCGAGTGAAAGGGCAGCACACCTTGCAGCTTGAGAGTGCCAATGCCACGGTTCTTCTTCCGAGCCGAGGAATGGCCGTACGGCGAGAGGGGAGAGCTGGAGAACCCCTGCAGGGGGAATGAAATGAGCTCTCATCCCTCCCATCCCCTCTCTCTCACCTCACCCAGAGTCGGAGGCACACCTTGCAGCTTGAGCGTGCCAATGCCACGGTTCTTCTTCCGAGCCGAGGAATGGCCGTACGGCGAGAGGGGAGAGCTGGAGAGCCAAACCTTCCTACCTCCATACTACCTTGGGAGCACAGTGCGAGTGAAAGGGCAGCACACCTTGCAGCTTGAGAGTGCCAATGCCACGGTTCTTCTTCCAAGCCGAGGAATGGCCGTACGGCGAGAGGGGAGAGCTGGAGAGCCAAACCTTCCTACCTCCATACTACCTTGGGAGCACAGTGCGAGTGAAAGGGCAGCACACCTTGCAGCTTGAGAGTGCCAATGCCACGGTTCTTCTTCCGAGCCGAGGAATGGCCGTACGGCGAGAGGGGAGAGCTGGAGAGCCAAACCTTCCTACCTCCATACTACCTTGGGAGCACAGTGCGAGTGAAAGGGCAGCACACCTTGCAGCTTGAGAGTGCCAATGCCACGGTTCTTCTTCCAAGCCGAGGAATGGCCGTACGGCGAGAGGGGAGAGCTGGAGAGCCAAACCTTCCTACCTCCATACTACCTTGGGAGCACAGTGCGAGTGAAAGGGCAGCACACCTTGCAGCTTGAGAGTGCCAATGCCACGGTTCTTCTTCCAAGCCGAGGAATGGCCGTACGGCGAGAGGGGAGAGCTGGAGAGCCAAACCTTCCTACCTCCATACTACCTTGGGAGCACAGTGCGAGTGAAAGGGCAGCACACCTTGCAGCTTGAGAGTGCCAATGCCACGGTTCTTCTTCCGAGCCGAGGAATGGCCGTACGGCGAGAGGGGAGAGCTGGAGAGCCAAACCTTCCTACCTCCATACTACCTTGGGAGCACAGTGCGAGTGAAAGGGCAGCACACCTTGCAGCTTGAGAGTGCCAATGCCACGGTTCTTCTTCCAAGCCGAGGAATGGCCGTACGGCGAGAGGGGAGAGCTGGAGAACCCATGCAGGGGGGACGAGCCCTCATCTCCGTTTCTCCCTCCTCCTCCTCCTACTCCTCCCGCTCCTCCTCCCCCTGCCCCCAGCCTGTCACTGGCGTCTGCCGCGTTTCGAGCACTCACAGGCACCAGCATGAGTGGCTGGAGGCTGAAAGGTGGTGGGGAATAGGAGCGAGAGGGGAGACAGCGGAAGGGAAGGGAAGGAAGCAGTGAGAAGGTGGGGAGGAAGGGTCAGAGCACCAGTCTGTGCGTTGAGCACTGGAAGGGTCAGAGCACCAGTCTGTGCGTTGAGCACACACAGGCACCAGCATGAGCGGCTGGAGACAGGGGGGTTGACGGGGAAAGGGAGGGGAGGGAATGGGGGTGTGAAGAGCAGCAAAAGGTGGGGAACAGGAAGGTCACGACAGGTTGCAGTTGAGTCGAATCAAAAGCTCTTGGCACAACCTCCTGGCACTTGGCACGGCGAATTGCAACGAAGAAGACCTCTTGAGATGCTCTGACGCCCTGTGTTTGAACAAGTGTTTTGAGACGTCTCAAAACACTGACGCCATGCTCATTCCTGCGTGAAACTCTTAGATGCTCGAGGTTCACCCACAGAAGGTGCACAGGGAGGCACAGGCAGCGTCTTGCAGGAAGAAATGAGCGTGGATCGGGATGCTTTTGAGTCGACTCAAAAGCATGCCCCCTTGGCATCTCACGCGTGCAGCTTGCAGCAACATCAGCTCCCTCTCTCTCTCTCATGGAGATCTTGTGGCTCACCCGAAGAATGTGCGCAGGGAGGCACAGGCAGCGTCATGCAGGAAGAATTGTGCATGGGGTGATGATGCCCCCTTGGCAGCCTCATCCATGCACATGCGCACACATGCATCGTACGCCACCACCGCACTCCACCTCTCCTCCGCACTGTAGGTGTGGGACAAGGGACAAGCGGTGCGAGTGAGAATTGCGCGTGGGGGGATGCCCCCTTGGATGCCTCGTCCATGCACATGCGCACACATGCATCGTACGCCACCACCGCACTCCACCGCTCTTCAGCGCTGCATATGGAGCATGGTGCATGGAGCATGGTGCATGGAGCATGGTGCATGGAGCATGGTGCATGGGGCATGGTGCATGGAGCATGGTGCATGGAGCATGGTGCATGGAGCATGGTGCATGGAGCATGGTGCATGGAGCATGGTGCATGGAGCATGGGGCATGGAGCATGGGGCATGGAGCATGGTGCATGGGGCATGGTGCGTGGAGCATGGTGCATGGAGCATGGTGCATGGAGCATGGTGCATGGAGCATGGTGCATGGAGCATGGTGCATGGGGCATGGTGCATGGAGCATGGTGCATGGAGCATGGTGCATGGAGCATGGTGCATGGAGCATGGTGCATGGAGCATGGTGCATGGAGCATGGTGCATGGAGCATGGGGCATGCAGCATGGTGCATGGAGCATGGTGCATGGAGCATGGTGCATGGGGCATGGGGCATGGAGCATGGGGCATGGAGCATGGGGCATGGAGCATGGGGCATGGAGCATGGGGCATGGAGCATGGAGCATGGGGCATGGAGCATGGGGCATGGAGCATGGGGCATGGAGCATGGGGCATGGAGCATGGGGCATGGGGCATGGGGCATGGGGCATGAGGCATGGGGCATGGGGCATGAGGCATGAGGCATGGGGCATGGGGCATGGGGCATGGGGCATGGGGCATGGGGCATGGAGCATGGGGCATGGAGCATGGGGCATGGGGCATGGGGCATGGGGCATGGGGCATGAGGCATGGGGCATGGGGCATGGGGCATGAGGCATGGGGCATGGAGCATGGGGCATGGGGCATGGGGCATGGGGCATGGGGCATGGGGCATGAGGCATGGGGCATGGGGCATGGGGCATGGGGCATGAGGCATGAGGCATGGGGCATGAGGCATGAGGCATGGGGCATGAGGCATGGGGCATGAGGCATGGGGCATGAGGCATGAGGCATGAGGCATGGGGCATGAGGCATGAGGCATGGGGCATGAGGCATGAGGCATGGGCCATGAGGCATGGGGCATGAGGCATGGGGCATGAGGCATGAGGCATGAGGCATGGGGCATGAGGCATGAGGCATGGGGCATGAGGCATGGGGCATGGGGCATGGGGCATGGGGCATGAGGCATGGGGCATGGGGCATGGGGCATGGGGCATGAGGCATGAGGCATGAGGCATGGGGCATGAGGCATGAGGCATGGGGCATGAGGCATGGGGCATGAGGCATGGGGCATGAGGCATGGGGCATGAGGCATGGGGCATGAGGCATGAGGCATGAGGCATGGGGCATGAGGCATGAGGCATGAGGCATGAGGCATGAGGCATGAGGCATGGGGCATGGGGCATGGGGCATGGGGCATGAGGCATGAGGCATGAGGCATGGGGCATGAGGCATGAGGCATGGGGCATGAGGCATGAGGCATGAGGCATGAGGCATGAGGCATGGGGCATGAGGCATGGGGCATGGGGCATGGGGCATGGGGCATGAGGCATGGGGCATCGAGCAGCATGGAGATCGCAGGTAACGCTCGCAAAGTGGGTACCATGTAAGGCAAGCAGCACGGTTACCAGTAACCCTACCTGGCGAGTTGGATGGGTTCGATAGCAGGTGGTTGAGCGTGCCCATGGTTAGTTGGCTTACTCTTGAGGCGCCTCAAAAAGCAGTGTGGTTACCACAGCATAGGCGGTGTGGTAACCAGTAACCCTACCTGGCGAGTTGGATGGGTTCGATAGCAGGCGGGTGACCGTGCCCCGTGGTGCGATGGGGCGCGGTGGGGGTGTGGGGAGACAGAGGCGTGTCTGCCCCCGCACGCTCCGCCCTGCAGTGAAATGGGGAGGGGGAACACGGCAGGGGCGGGAGGGAAGGGGGCAGTGCTCTATAAGCGAGTGCCCCGTGGTGCGATGGGGCGTGGTGGGGGTGTGGGGAGACATAGGCGTGTCTGCCCCCGCACGCTCGGCCCTGCTGGGAAGGGCGAAGGGAGGGGGGAAAAGGGAAAGAGGAGGAGGGGAGTGAATTCTCGGTGCGGCGATGGGGCGTTGGAAACTAAGAGGGAGGGGCGCACGAATGCTAAGGGGGAGGGGGCGCACGAATGCTAAGGGGGAGAGGGCGCACGAATGCTAAAGGGGAGGGGGCGCACGAATGCTCCTGTGAGATGGGCGCGGCGCGGGACTGCCTAAAAAAAGACACTCCAAAGTAGCCCGTGATACAGCCGCCCAAGTAATCACCGCGTTTCAAAGCTGCACACTCGTTATGCCGCGCCCACATGCTTACCTGCAATAGAGGTTTTTTTACCCCGTTCGTAATTCATTTATATCCCCGCTTTACCGCGTTCCCATGGCATGCACGCGTTATACCGCATGCCTCTGCTCCCCCCTTATCCTGTCGTACCATCTCCCCACTCCTAAACTGATCATCGTGACAAACTCGCGAGCATGCGATCTGCGCGATTCACCTCTGCGACGCGTGCGACGGCGAGTCCGTCGTCGCGCCCGATTCCTCCCGCACGGTGCTCAGCCGCAGCGCGCTTTCCCGCCCCAGCCCTATCGCGGACCTCCCCCCGCCACTCCACCTTCCGCTGCTCATCCCCGGCGACTCCGCGCTCTCCCGCTCCCCGCTTCCGCCCGCCTCTGGCCGCTGGGGCTGCGGTGCCGCGCGGGTGGGCGCGCCGGGCGCGGCGCGCGCGGGCGGGCCGCCGCTCATGGCGGAAACGGGCGGCGCGCTGGGGGTCGTGCTGGCGTCGCCGCGACTCGCAAGACTGTCGCCGCCCTGCCGCTGCCCGTGGCTGTAGCTCCGGCTGTTGCTAGGATCGTTGCTTCGATTGTAGCTGACACCGTTGCTCCGGCTGTAGCTCTGGCTGTCTCGTCCACTAACCCGTTGACTGTCCGGTTGACTACAGCGTTGACTGTAGCGTTGACTGTCTCTCGGGCTGTAGCTGTCGCGATGCGGACCCGGTCCCCCCACAGCCCTCAGCACTGCTTCGTCATCATCCTCCTCCTCGTCCGGCTCCCGCTCCTGCTCTCGCGCACGTTCCCGCTCCTCCTGCTCCCAGTCGTCAATTCCGCCGAGATTTGCGCGATCGTCGTTAGCGTCTCCCGCGTCGCCTTTGACCATAGACGACAGCACGTTAGGCGCGAATTCTAAAGAATGATCTAAGAACGGCTCGGCTGCAAGATCGTCCTCTTCTTCCGCCTCCTCGTCTTCCTCCTCTTCCACGTCGTTAACCTCCACTTGGCGACTATTACCGACGTTCGCGACGTTCGCGAAGTTAGGGTTTCTGTCGCCCAGTACCCCGTTGCTCCACACGCCGCTCTCGTAAAAGCCGCTCTCCCGCTTCGCTCCCCCCGCCGGCTTCGACCGGCTCTGCAGATCCGGAATCGCGGAGCGGCCTTGCCCGTCGTACGGCGTTTCCTCGCCCGTACGACTACGTTTCACCTCCTGCCGGTTCATCTCCCACGTGGAGCTCCCCATGTTGGATGAAACTCGGCTCTTTTTCACCCCGACCGGTCCGTACTCCTCGTTACCGTTCTCATCCGCCCACGCTGCTGCTTCTTGCCCGTAATCGCGACTCTCCATTCCCATGTTGGGCATGTCCATTGATTCGTACGCCGCGCGTCCTGCCGCCACGGGTTGCTGATACTGGTGCTGCTGATCCATCCCTCGTACTCCGCGCGTCCCTTTGCTCCAGCCGCCTCCTTTCATGGCGTCCCGGCGAGAAACACACGTGGCTTAACTAGGATCTTCCTGATTGCCTATCAAGCTAAGCTAGTAGCTAGAACAGCTGGAGAAACACCTTTCCATAATGTGCTTACTGACACATTTGGGTGCAATACCATGCACAGCGCGAAGTGCTTTGGCGGGAAAATACATTTTGAATCTGCACATTTCTGGCTGCCTGTTTCTAAAGAACGCGTTCTCACAAGTTTCCGATCGAAACCGGAAACTGAACTTGATTTCATCACGAGTCATTCCAACATGTGCTCGTGACCAGTGGACTCTTCCCGCCGGGTGCGTCCGTGCCAAATTTTACTCCGAGAACTACAGAAACACGACCTTGAAAGTTGCTGACACACCGTAGCCGCTCGCTGCTCACCACGGAATTCGTTTGAAGCTTGAACTAATTTGTCAGGTTGATATTTTTATACGAATATCGACCTCAATGTCTAGAATAAAAGCAGCAGAACATCCTTCTCTTTCACTCTAGACATTCCTTCCCCTCCCGCTATCATAAACCCCGCTTTCCCCGTTCACCCCCCTCTTCCCTTGTCTAAGCCCACCTCCCCTCCAAACTCTCCTCCTTCCCCCACCCCTCCCCCGCCCCTCGTCCCTAACCCCTACATAAAACGCTCCCACCTCCTCACGTCACTCCCGTTAGCTCAGTCTTAGGCTTTTATTTTTCCTGGTGGGCTTGTAGCTAAGGGTGTCTAGCTCACAGAATCCGATCTTGTCCATCGTGGCTTACTACGCGAGCCTTAAAAGTGCCTTCGTGCTGTGAGCGACGCCTGGACGAGGCAAGTGAGCCAGATATGCCAAGTATAACAGGCATGTTCTAGATCCTCGAATCAAGAAATATGGGTGCCGCGCAACTGTTTCTTCCCGCCCTGTTGATACGTTAGTCTGCGCTAGTGAGCACCAATGCACGCGTGAGCTGATTTAGATGCTATTATCGAGTTGTACATTGTAGTTCACGATGCGGAGATCGTGTGCGTGAGTTTCCCTCGTTTCACTACGCTCGCTTCTTGGCATGCTTGCGATTTCGTGACGAATTTGCTGAACGTTCACTCAAAGATCAGGAACAATTGCTTGAGGTGCGCCCTAAGCGAATTGTGCTTGTGTTTAACGGGGGCGCCGCGTGCGCGCGACGGGCTTGAGTTTCAGTGCGCGGATCGTTTGGAGTATGTAAAAGCTTACACTGGCCAATATATATTGCTCATGACACTTGCATCAACAATCAGCAGCAAGGGCCACACCCTGTTAAACCTAGTGGCTTCAACTGCAGCTGTGTCACACCCTTTGTGCTGATTCTCGATGCGGCGCTACATAACGC